AACGTTGTATAAGTGTCTATCTCATATACTCATGGCTGTTGTAGTAGCCACTAAACCAAACAATTCCAAGGCTTCGTCAATTGTCTTCATAGNTAGCCGTCTCTTCTTGTTGTTCTTCTTTTGTTTCTCTTCGCCTATTGTGAAAAATAAATTCAATTTTTAGATCAGTTGGTATCAATTCACCGTCCTTCGAATTTCATGTAAAACTTTTGAAAGAGAAAATAGAATAACTAAAACAATTTGAGAAAGAAATAAATAAATAAAATAAAATAAAGTAAAAGAAGAAAGTTCAAATTAGTGCTGAGCTAAAGAAACTTAAACTCGAGCACAATCTTCGGCAACAGAGCCAAAAATTTGTTTACAAAATATTATTCGTTCAAAACCAATCCTAGTATACAGTTCGTCAACAAGTAATAAAGTGGATTTTGAGTCCAAGTATTATCCCATAGAAATTGTACTAGTTTAAGTACGAATTAACTTAGCTATAACCGAAACTATTGAACTCGGTTATTTTTTCCTATAAATTAAATAATCTAATTCTAAATGCGGTTTCTCTTGAGTAGAATTAAACCTAATTTGTTTAATGATTTCTCTCGAATAGAATTAAACCTAATTTGTTTAATGATTTCTCTTGAGTAGAATTAAACATATTTTTACATGTGATCCGCCCATATTTCTATGATGGATGCGAACATATAAAAAATGTATTAGTGGATTTGTAAATAATTATAGATCACGTAAAGCATAACGACAGATTTCTATCCCCTATCGGACTCTGCAACAATTGACAGAATGTCTCTCGAGGGTAAAACAAACCACAATATTCATACAATTATTGATCAAGTAGTTGTAGAAAAAATTAAATCAATGACAATCATTCAAGAATAAAAAACATGTGTTAAATGTCAAAAGAAAATAAAATTAGGATGTTAAATGTTTATAATACAAGGTTCAACGAAAATCGTAGCACAAAATAATTTGGCCAAGCATAATATTGAGCCAACTTTTGTATAGTGAAATTGCAGCAGCAACTTTTCCCTTTTCCTTTTTTTCTTCTTTTCGTTTTCTGTGTGCTTGTGTAAAATTTCTCCGAATTCAGCCAACTTTTTTGTATGGTATATATATGCATGTGTGTGTGTGTATATATTACTTCAACCTTTTTTTCTCTTCTTTCACAGCCGGCAGCTCCGTTTTCTTTGTATGTAGATTTAATCAATTCTGCCTCATCCTTTTTGTATGGTATGTATGTTTTTATATAAAACCTCCACTAAGCTGTCGAATTTTGTGTTAAAAAAAAAAAGAAAAAAGAAAAAAAAGGACCCGTTCGATTATAAGCCAAAATGACCCGTTCATCTTCACCAATAAGCCAAAATTATAACTACGTAAGGATTATTAGTGCAAGGTTCATTCGATTCCCAGAAGAAGTGAACAGGACCCGTTCATCTTCACCAATAAGCCAAAATGGGCCATTCACCATTGAACTGATACATACTTCACAGCACCCATTTCCACTCAATCTCCTCAATTTACCCCGTGGCCACAATAAGCATAAACTAGAAATAAACATCTAGCAATCATCTCTATAAATTGACCACTCATTCAATATATATCTTACTAAATTTTTCCAGAAACCCAACATAAAAGCAGCAGTGATGGTCGGATTTCACCACTATATATGCTCTTCAATTAACGACATTTTCCCCTTATTTAATGTAATAATTTAAAGTATTTTCACACCCATTTTCCAACTACTGTTATATATATGGACTATGTAGAAGGTGGGAATAAGGGGTTCAATGGGTGAGACGATTTTAGCCCTGTTGACTGGACAAAAATTGGTTCTCTCTCTTTAATTAACAGCAAAATGAATGGAACTTGGACGGAAGGACTTTCATCGCAACGAAAGGTTGATTTGAGGGCAAAAATGCCAAAAAATGAAAGGTGGGGACTTTTCCACAATGAAGCTGAAAGGTAGGGACGTTTTCCGTCAATTACCCAATTAACTTAGCCTTAACCAAAACTATTGAACTCTATTATTTTTCCTATAAATTAAATAATCTAATTCTAATTGTGAGACTTAATTTAACTAAAATTCAATGCAAGGTTATAATCTAAATTCAAGTTTTATAATAATATGCTGATAAAAAGTGTACTAGGATCCCATATCCCCTTATATCAATCCCCTTCAACTCGGAAATTTACAATTTAACGACACAATTAAATTATGAAGACCAATATTCCTAATTTGTTTAACAATTTCTCTCGAGTAGAATTAAACCTATTTTTAGATTTGACCCCCTCATATTTCTATGATGGACACGAACATATAAAAATGTATTAATGGATTTTTATATAATTTAAGACCAAGTAAAGCATAGCGGTAGATTACTATCCCCTATCAGACTCTATCACTATTGACAGAATGTCTAACATATTTTCTATCTCTCGAGGGTAAAACAAGCCACAATATTCATACAATTAGTGGTCAAGTAGTTTTAGAAAAAACTAAATCCATGACAATCATTCAAGAATTGAAAACATGTTTTATATGTCAAAAGAAAATAAAATTAGGAAGTTAAATGTTCACAATACAAGGTTCAATGAAAATCCTAGGACAAAATAATTTGGCCAAGCATAATATTGAGCCAACTTTTGTATAGCGAAATTGCAGCCGCAACTTTTACCTTTTCCTTTTTCTCTTTTCTTCATTTTCTGTGTGCGTGTGTAAAATTTCTCCAAATTCAGCCACCTCTTTTGTATGGTATATATCCTCAATCCTGTCCATCTACATGCATGTGTGTGTGTATATTACTTCAACAGCAACCTTTTTTTCTCTTCTTTCGCAGCCCTGTTTTCTTTGTATGTAGATTTAATCAATTCTGCCTCCTCCTTTTTGTATGGCATGTATGTTTTTATACAAAACGTCCACTAAGCCGTCGAATTTTGTGTTTAAAAAAAAAGAAAAAAAGAAAAAAAAAGGAGTCCAATTCCTTTTTAGTTTCAGCCACTTTTTGTCCAATTATACTTCTGTTCAAGTTGAGGCCCATTTAAGTCCAATGCATTATTTACCTTCTTTCAAGTAATGCACTTTAATCCTTGAATTCAATTTATTGTGAAATGCTTCAATTTTTAAAGTGTAAACTTCGATCCCCCAAAATTGCAGATTTCATTCAATTCCATCATTCTTTCTTTTCCAATTTGCCGTATGTATGCAAGAAAGAAAGCGTGAGTGATGCGAGAAGCAGAGAAAGTTAAAAGGCAGTGAGAGAGAGATTAATTTTGTGTTGGTTTTGCTAAATATTAAAATAGTGAGTAGTGGTGTGTGTAAGTGAGTTTTGAATAATAAAATCACTTTATTTGGTGTACATACTTAATTACTTATATAAACTCTGTCTAGTGGTTTTTGTAAACTTAGATGCAGCATGAATTCTGGATCTGTGTGTTGCCATGTATCTTGGGCTCCCTTCCAAGAGTCATTTATCTTTAACGATTTTGCTACAGTGACAAGCTTAATGACATATTCAATGAGAGAGGAAACAGGTGTCAATACATAATTGAATGGTTTGAGCCAAAAAAAAACATCACTCAATCCTGCCCTACCACCCCTCCCTGTAAGCAATCCCAGTCCAAGGAACATAATTGTTATCTTTAATATTATTTAGTCTATTCCATTACCAAGAAATGATGAAATCATTTTGTTTAGTAACTATTCATAAATTTCCAAGTTTTCTTGTATCTATTTATAGGTTTCACCGGAGACGATAGTGAATTAGAAAAGTTAATACTAATGTTTAGAAAAGAAAGTATCTTATTCTTTGAATATTATTGACATGTGGGGTTATTTGAATTGTTGCTGTTGAAGGATTGCTATCTTTAGATTCCTTCGATTTATTTTGTAAGTAATTTTTGAATTGCAGGTGAAGACAAACACAAGGGAGTGGCTTTGTGAGAGCATGTGCAAGTTGATTATATGTGGAAATATGAGAGAGACACTGCTCACTTTTGTACAAACCCAAACATGTGTAAGTCAATTTGAATATGTTTCATTTTAGAATGAAACATGGAATTGGGACTCCAATTCTCCAACGTCCAAGTTTCCGAGTTATTTACTTCATAGTAAGGACTTAGTTAAGGTAACTAAATCCTTTGAGTTTAAAGATTAGTCAAGAAATGTTTGAATAAATATTTTATACTATAATTTAAGGGCTCGAATTTAAAGTTTGTCTTGGATCCTGAAAATTCAAAGTTCGACCTTGCGTAAATTCACCGGCAGTAAACTGTATTTCTGACTCCGTCCCTGGTCGGTTTTCTTGCTAGTTGTTTGGTCGTCGGGATTTGATTTTTGTTTTTTCTTCTTTTCCATGGGGGATAATAATTAAGGTTAGGTTGCTACTTTGCTGTTGGGTATGCCGAATGAAATTGTAGTTACATGCTTAAAACACAATCTCCAAATATTTTAGGTCACCATAGGGTTATTCCGCGGTGGTTTAGCCACAAGTCGACCAACCTAACTCTGTTCCTGATAAGATCCCATTCAAGTTGCAGATTTATAAATGGTTGTAATTGTTTTTATTGGAAACTGAAGCCTGTTATGTTTTAATTAAATTGATATTGAACAGCAGGAAGATATATATATTTTATACTGAATAAAATGTAACAGAATTAGGAGTCATGACAGAGTTTGAAGTGTTTTTAATTTGTATTTTCATTTTGATTTCTATTAATAAAGCCGATTCAATGATCATGGCAGAATAAGAAATCCCAATTTAGTCCAACAGAAAAGACTACTCATTCTTACATTAGAATATCCATACAACAGAAGTGGGCATTCTGGTACAATTTTCATTTGGCATCTAAAACTCAAAATATGTTTCGACGTAATTAGAATTTCACACACTCCACGTAAGTCCCATGATATTTCTTAAGAAACCAAAATTCATGTCATATTCACTCAAGCACCTTCTTGTTTAACATTTCAGTTATTTACTTCAGCCAGATCTCTAAATCTTCTTGGCTTCCACATGGTTATTCCTCGTTTCTGCGGCCACCGGTTGAGCAACCAAACTTCCATTATACTACTCCAGACAGTGAGTCCAATCCCAATAGTATAGATCAGTTGTTTCCTATCCTTTTGTGGTCTAACCACAGCAATGGATAGTGCATAAGTAATTACAGTTGAAGTTACTGTTGACCACATAATCACCACCAAACTCTACATAAACAGCCTGCATTGAAAAGGCAAGCCACTTATTAAGAGCAAGATCATACTAAGAGATGAAACGAAGGCTGTTATATTTGCTCCAACGAAACTCCTATATGCTTTAGGATGAATATGTGCCATTACAGCTTCTCCAGCTTTGTGGGAATTATCTGTTGCATTGTCTTGCCAGACACCACCCGGAGGGGTCACCCCAGCTTGGAAAGCAATTGTAGCAGTCAGAATTGCCAACACCATTATGCTATCGCGCCTCTTTTATAGCCGTTTCATTGTCTGATTTTGAGGATTGATGGAGTCACAGGCTTTAGGCTGAAGACAGTTCTTAATGGACAAATAATTTGTTGAAAAAATAATTAGTTGCAGTAATGTTCAGATCAATAAAATGCAAAAATATAAAACTTATCATCCGATTCAGTCTCGTGATAGTATGATGTCCTAAAGTGAAATTGTCCGTCGATAATTGCTGCGACCTCCGTGGACAATCACTCCCAGGATACAACGATCGTAAACCACTTGTGCAGCAATCACGAATTATTTTTCCAGAATTTCAATTGTACTCCAGAATATATGTAAAAACCCGAGCATAAGAAATTCAGAATATGAAAAGGAAGGATTGATGTAAGATGATTTTTCTATTTTCTTTTTTTGTGTGTTTTTTCCAAAACGAGATATGTGTTTATATAGGCAAGATGGAAGTAACGGTCTCCACCATGATGAGAGAGTAATACAGAATTTTAATGACTGAATAGTGGGTATTTTAATGACTGTGAGTAGGTTGTGACAAAAACAAACGGTCAGAAAATATTGGCTAGTTTTACCTATTAAATAATAATAAAAATTTATTTTAGTCAAGGAAGCCCAAGACATTTTAATATGTGCGCGGGCAATGACTCAAACCCCTGAGGTCTCACACAAATGCCATATTTCCCACCACCTTGACACTTCATCTAATTTGATTATTTTTTTCACATTTTATATTTATACCATAAATATATAACATAATTACCAGTATTCCTCAAATCAGTGGGAGTTAGTTCCAAAATATCCAATGCTGTGTAGTCATTTGCATTTTTTGCATTCCCATCTATGCCAGTATTTCCTATTAAATACTGGACTGTCTGCATACCGAAAAATGGTTATGGACCTCTGCTACAATTTTTCCAATATAATTAATGAATCCGAAAAACTTCAAATGTACATACGACTGTCTTACCTCAAAATGTTTAGTCTGAACAGCCAGATGCAATATTGTATCCCCATCATCATTCTTTGCATTAAAAAACTCATAATCATTTATAACCCGCAATATGATTTCCATAACCTGCAACTGTTTGTGTTTCACACACAAATGCAAAACGGTCTGGCCCCGGTCCGCCTTCTCCTGGACAACAAGTGAACTCGTCTTGATCAACTCATTGAAGACCATGACTTGACCATTAATGGCCGCAAGATGCAGTGGGTTTCTGCCATGGAAATCACGGGCTAAGCACATATCAGGTGCAGCTGAAACTATTGCTTTTACAATTTCAGCATATCCCTTAGCTGATGCTATGTGAAGAGATGATGATTGATGGGAGTCTAGTTCCGCAGCAAGCAGAGGATTCCTTTGGGCAATTTCTTGGACAAAGGCTGTGTTGCTATGTGTAAAGGAGTCTTGTTGGAACATGTAAACGAAACTCTATCAAGAATCAATGGATCTTCTTTGAGTAAATCGAGCAGAGATCTTATGTCCCCTTTCACTGCTGCATCATAGAGCTTATTTTCAGCCATTTCTTTCTTAATAAAACACACACAAACGCGCACTAAAAATACACAAATATACAGCTTCTTGCCTCAGTTCAACTCTTATTTATGTGAGTCTTTTGAACTTTTTACATAAAATAGAAATTTCCTGGTTATAACCTTAGGCCAGAAGGAACCTTCCTTGTGTGAAACGGATTCAAATGCTTGCTCAATTTACTGATCATGCTAGTACTTGCATGTACGAATAATTTGACTGAGTAAACCAGCATTTATGACTAAAATGAATATCTTCCAAGAGAGCTGCTACAGGTACCCGGAGTGCCGGGAGTTTGACACTCCGGGTTACCTGCTACTCACATTGGGGGTCGGGGCCCACACCAATAAATGTGGGGGGCCTGACCCCCTCGCTCACATCGGGTAACCCGGCGTGTGACACGTCGGGTACAAATGGCAAAGCTCATCTTCCAAACAGTTAAATAATCAAATTTTATAAAAACAGAGTTGACTTTGAGGGACAAATTCACTTGGAAGTTGATAAGAAGTTTGAAGAAATAATATGGGGAAAGGTATCAAAGCAGTGGCTCAGATTGTTTATTTTTGTAAGATAACAATATTATTTTCTATGTTAAATATTTAAGTAAAATTATACGAAGCATAATTCATCTGATTTTTTATTTTTATTATGTTTGTAAACGAATACTCTTAGATAAAAAATAAATAAAAAAAATTAAAAATAGAAGCAAAAGTTCCCAACTTATTATATGTGTGGATACTAAGCTTTCAGAAACACTATTTTGCTCAGGTATCCCTTGTATGATATATTGGGGCAATATTCCACACCCTTGTAAAAACTTTGCAAAATCACCCATATTTTGACCAAACTCGTTATATTTCCCATAGTACTTACCATCCGAGTTAAATCTTACAACTTTGATACTTTTTCCACATTATTTCTCTACTTTCATTTTGAAAATCTTGAATTTCTTAAGTGTATGGAATTTATCATTAATCAGATAAAAATATCCATATCGTGAAAAAAATCATCAATAAAAGTTATGAAGTATTTGTTCCCATATACGGTGGAAGGCAAAGGCCCACTGATATTAGTATATATCAAGTCCAAAATACCGTTGTTCCTAGTAGAACCCTTCCTTGTAGATTTAGTTAGTTTTCCTCTTATACAATCCATACAGGTGTTGAAATTAGAGAAATCCAAATGGGGAAGTATCTCAATTTTTACCAATCTTTCCGCTCTATACCTAGAAATGTGAGCCTGATTGCTTATGCCACAACATAAAGGATGATTTACGAATTATAGCTCTTTTCTTTTATACAATCGTAACATAAGAGATTTCACCAAAAGGAATCGAAGATAATTTATATAAACCATCACATAAAGGGCCATTCTCAATCAAACGGGATCATAAAACAACTCAACCATTACATTACCAAAGTGAAAGAAAAAACCACATACATCAAGTTTTGATATAAAAATTAAATTGTCTCATTGCAATACAAAAACTTTATTTTCTAAAACAAGAGAAAAACCATACTCCAAAGACAACTTCACTACTCCTGTGAACTCAACCTTCACTTGAATTCCATTTCCAACACTCAAGTTCACTTCATTCTCATTTGGCCTCTGTTTGCTTTTGGACCGATATAGAACTCTTCTTATTTTCTAGCCAAGTCTTAAACTTTGAACAATCTTTCTACTAGTGACCCTTCGTTTTGCAGAATCTGCATTGATCATTTTTCTTTATAATTCTTTCAGGACAGCTGGAATTTTTATTTTGCCAATTTTGGTGTGATTTATTACCCTTACAAAACTTAGTCTTGTGATTATGAGAAGACCCCTTGTTCTGTTATGGTTGAAAAGCTAATTGCATAGTTTCAATGGTCTCATGCCGCATCCTATACTCCTCTTGGGCACACACTGCAATAAGGTCCTTTAAATCACATTTATCCCACTGAGCAGTGTAAGTAACCTTAAGTTGATTAGCTAGGAAGGCTAGTTAAAACATGAAAGACCAGGAAAGGCTCCGCAATGAGAATGTTAAGAGCCTTTAGCTTAGATAATATATTTATCATCTTCATAACATGCTCCCTGATCACTACTTGCACCATCATATATCATATTCATCAATTTGTCCATCACATCTCCAGTTTTAGCTTCATCAGACTCAACAAAAATTTCTCCTTCGACATCCATAAAATCTTTGGCATTTTCATTCTATGGGCTAGCGCCCATAATGGAATTAGATATAGAGCGATTCATTATTTTCAAACAAAGTTTGTTGGTTCTTTCACACTTTTCATACTCGGGCACATATTCAACATTACTTTTATCTATAGGTTTTACCAGCTTTTTCTCCATTGCAAAATCCAAGCCCAAAGACCAAGTGCTATTCTACACTTGGTTTCCATCTCACATAATTATTTCCAGTCAAGGTTTCAATAGCAAACAATTGACTCGAGAGAGATGATGCATTATAAATTGTGAAAATATAAAATATCATATTTAATATCATCCAAACATAATGCATGCGGTCAATAGATGATAAACACTAATTAACATGGGCTATTAATTAGATAATCTGTAATTAAAATCAAAACCAAATGAATCTTATTACAATAAGAGCCTAGATGCATTATTATAAAATCACATTTGGATTGACAATCCAACATGCTATAAGGTACTCTTAAAATACGTGATGAAACTAGTTAACAAAATTACATTGTTTTTCGAAACACCAACACCTTTGGGCACAAGAAATTTTTTAGATCAAAGTAAGCTTGTTAACTACCTTATGCCATTTTTCAAAACATCGCATATAATAACACTTTCGGCCAAGATAATATATGTAATAAATAAAAACTGCGACGCTAAATTTTGTTTTGGTAGACAAAACGGAATAAATAACAATGAGTGTGTTATTTCGGCAGCTACCACCCATTTTTATTTCTAAATATTTCTCTTAGTGGAAAAATAAGGATCTTCTCAAAGCCCATGAAAAATTCAATCACGAAACAATAATTACTTAACAAATCATAATTGTGAATCGATGAAAGGCAAAAATTTATATGTGATTGAGAGACGAAATTGACAACAAAATTTCAATATATAAAAAGAATTAAATTTAAGCCCGCAAATAATAGTGACATTTAAATGCATAAGCATTTTAATGAAAATATAAAAGTCGTCAATCAATTTATTTAGTTGGTATAATTTTAAATAGGTCAAATTTAAATAAAATTTTGATTGTGGTCAAAATTGAAATTTTAGGGTCAAACCTTTTAAAATCCAATTTAAACCCCCTTTTGAAAATTGCAAAGTGGCCCATTTTTGAATTTATTAATAGACCCCTCAAATCTTCTAACATCTCATAAAACGCCCATCATTTGATAATTGCAATTTGACCCCAAAATCAAATATTACAGATGGTTCCCCACAATTTCACAAATTGCATGTGAGGCCCCATCATCGAACTGTCTATCCAAAATTTTTCTTCTTTGTGGTGTCGACGTCACTCGATGCAGCATTTGCCTATTCCGGGCCTTGTTGCTGGCTTTGCTGCCACAAAGGCAGTAGCACCCGATGATTACAGCAGTAACAAGTTGCTATGATTTGCTATAGACGCTGCAACCAAGTGCGATAGCGGCGAGCTACCGTCGATCGAGTCTACTGTGACCATGCCTTTTTCCTCTTTTTATATTTCAAACCAGCAATAAGAAAAATTATTCAGCTGGGATTTGGTGGAAAAATTATTGAGCAAGGATTTGGTGGCTACAACATTAGTTCACATCACAATTAATTCATCAAAAGAAAAAAAAATGATGAAAAAAAAGGAAGGAAAACCAACAACTTGATGGCAATGTCAAAACCCAAATCAATTGGCAAGTGGAAAAAACACCACTACCAACGGCGACAGCTGCTCCTCAATCAATTTAATGATAATCATGCTAAGAAACAAGAATCACAAAATAATTAATTGATAATTCTAATTCATTCATCGTGGTTATGAATAATAATAGCTAAATCTTCTCCTCTTTGCTCCTCACAAAGTGGTAGTCGTCAATGGGCAAGCTAATGAAAACAATATGGAGAGGAGAGTGGACCTAGCCATTACATAGGAAATTATCAAGTTGTCCCATTACGACTTAAACTCTAATTAGAGTTTACATATATTTTCGGCCCACATATTTAAAATTACTACATCATATCAAATATAGTCTATAAGGTGTAAAACGGCCCAATTGATCACTTAATAAAGTGGAAATTACATGAATTAAGTAATTTCAAGATCTTAATTCAAATTTAAGATTTATAAATTTTTCTTTCAAAATCAGATATAATTAGAATTGGAAATATTTATAATAATATTATAAAAAATATTTTACATATACACCCCACTGTTTCCTACCCTACAAAACCCGAATTATTTCTCAATATCTTCTCTCTTTCTATATAACACATCCGCCATCTCTCTTTCCCCCAACCCCTTTCTCTCTTCCAATCCTATCTTTCTCTTTCTATAGTGCTGCTCAATGTTGTGTGGCGGCACAAGCGAGGTGTGGCTATGGGTGGCGTTGCTTCCTATGATAATAGTGGTAGCAGATCACCGTCGTAGGTGATAGCAGAATTGTTGGAGGCCCAGATCGCTGAAAGCTCTATAAATTGTGGGTAAAGTCATTCATTCTCTGTGAGCATCAATGGAGGCTTGTAGATCTTGACTGCAGATCGTGATGGCGTAGATCACTGCTGCAATGGTACAAATCGCAGTGGTGATGGTGCAGACCGTGGCTACAGCGGTGTTGAATTTTTTTTATCGGTTGGATGGGCTGTAGTAGTTTTCATGTTTTGATGGTTTTGAGGTGGTGATTGTGGTACTGCAAATAGTTGTACTTGTTGGGAATCTACTT